ATTAAATATACACAAGGCGTCCACCCTACAGTTCAGTAGCAAGGAATTCTTCCTCATCTCAATCTTAAATTGGCACCTCTTAATTCTAAAACTATCCACCAAGACTTTCCTGTGAGGGGAAACAGTGTCAGCATTTACTCCACCAAGCCCCTTAAAAATCCTAAATGTTTCAATGAGGTCACCCCTCATTCTAAATTCCAATGAGTAGAGTCACAACTGGTTTAATCTTGGTCTGCTAACCTGTTTGAACTGTGGATGAAGAAAAGGAAGCTGGCCAGTTATCTGGCGTTTCCGTCCTCAACTGTACATAGACTTAATTGAAACAGAAACATTATGTACATTGGAAGGAATGTTAAATCATTCTGAATTGTATTTCTGCATTCATAAATTTTACTGATTTAAAACTACTTCATACCAGTATGAAATGACGTGCATTCAATTTAGTTATAAATCTAGGTGACAGCAAAAAGCAATTCATCAGAATTTACATTACAGTAATGAAAAATAAGAGAATGCTAAAATGGACTATTCCGAAAAGACAAAGAAAACATGTTACTGGAAGAGTTGAGGTACAATTTTTTTTGTAATGTTATGCTTATGTTCTTGTGGAACCAAGTCCATGAATAAGATCAGCCATGATCTTATTGAATGGCAGAACAGGCTCAATGGGCCACATGGCCTACTCCTGCTCCTATTTCTTATGTTCAGATAATTTTATTTTAAACTTGATGTCCTTTCTTCCTTTCAATGCAAAAAGGACATTTCATATGGAGTCTAGTTATAGGAGTGGTGGTGGTAGTAGTAGTGGTCTAGTTCAGTTGGCTGGTCAGCGATTCCAGCACCAGCTGAGGTTACTATGAAGTACTCCTCAACTTCACCCCTCTCCTGAGGCATGGTGACAGGTTAAGCCACCCCCAGTTCTCTCTAACAATAGAGAGCTGCTCTATGGTCTGGTAAAAATATGGTGACTTCACATTTATTTAGATTTAGGAGCAATAGGGTCACAGCAGCACAAGGGAAATAATGGGAAAGGCTGCTGGATGACAATGCAGCCAATCACATTTAAAAACAAATTTTCAACATTACCAGCAAAAACCCTGTCTCACCAATAAAATCTGAAACAGCCCTGAATTTTAGGAATGCTAGTAAGAAACTATGAACCTAACCTGAGCAGCATCCAAAGATAAACCACCTTGCGCTGTAAGTACTTTCTGATTCTCATTTAGAACTTCAGTTTCACCAGGCTTTAAAAACAATACCAGATGGGAATGAGAGAAAGATGTGCAATACAGAGAAGGTTAGTCTACATCCAATAGCCACAAAAACTGAAATAAAAAGGGTTTGTTTCCAATGCTCGAGAATTTCAATGGATTTTTTTTTTGTCCGAGATAGTCCGAGTAAATTTAGACAGATTATTCACTCCAGAAGGATTTGGAAACAATGAAGTGCACCCTGTTTGCATGCATGCACAAAGCTAAAGTGATTTGAAACACCAGATGTAGAGAGCGTATTATTCTTTGCAACACAAGGCCCTTTTGCTCTTAAATAGTTTATGGTAAGAAGTGATATTACAAATGTTTTTCACTTTAACTTCAGAAGTTGAATCAAATTGTCAGTGACATGAGGCACAATAATTGTGAAGTTACTTTATTTCACAATAGCTAAACATAGAGCAAATTATTAACTGGTACAAGTATTAATAGAACATGAAATAAAATGTCACACTACTTCCCCAAAACTCAGTAGATTATTATATTTGATTCAATAAATATCACTAATATTTTGTACATCTGACACTAAGATTGGTGGAGTAGCAGATAGTGAAGGGGACTGTCGGAGAATGCAGCAGAATATAGATAGATTGGAGAGTTGGGCAGAGAAATGGCAGATGGAGTTCAATCCAGGCAATACAAGGTGATGCATTTTGGAAGATCCAATTCAAGAGCAAACTATACGGTAAATGGAAAAGCCCTGGGGAAAATTGATGCACAGAGAGATCCGGGTATTCAGGTCCATTGTACTCTGAAGGTGGCAATGCAGGTTGATAGTGGTCAAGGCGGCAAACGGCATGCTTTCATTCATCGGACAGGGCATTGGGTACAAGAGTTGTCAGGTCATGTTACAGTTGTATAGGACTTTGGTTCAACCACATTTAGAATGCTGTGTACAGTTCTGGTCGCCACATTACCAAAAGGATGTGGACGCTTTGCAGAGGAGGTTCTCCAGAATGTTGCCTGGTATGGAGGGCGCTAGCTATGAGGAGAGGTTGAGTAGATTAGGATTATTTACATTAGAAAGACGGAGGTTGAGGGGGGGACCTGATTGAGGTCTACAAAATCATGAGGTATAGACAGGGTGGATAGCAAGAAGCTCCCCCACCCCAAGAGTGGGGGACTCAATTACTAGGGGTCACGATTTTAAGATGAGAGGGGAAAAGTTTAAGGGAGATATGCGTGGAAAGTTCTTTATGTAGAGTGTGGTGGGTGCCTGGAATGTGTTGTCAGTGGAAGTGGTAGAGGTGGGCACGATAGTGGCATTTAAGATGCATCTAGACAGATAAATGAATGGGCAGGGAGCAGAGGGATACAAATCCTTGGAAAATAGGTGACAGGTGACAGGTTTTGATAGAGGATCTGGATCGGTGCAGTCTTGGAGTGCCAAAGGACCTGTTCCTGTGCTGTAATTTTCTGTTCTTTTATCTCACCTCACTAAAAACCTGAGAAAATTTCTTTTAAAAACATGACTACTCGTGTTAAGGTCTTTCTCAACACCCTCCCTGATCCCAGAAGTAGAGGCCTGGTTCATGATACATGCAGGAGAGAAATGACCAATAAATATGCTAACTAAATTTTGAAAGCAAGTGCCTTTTCATTGCAATGAACCCCAGAAAGCTCAACAGAAAATAAAGGCACCACCTCTATTCCATTGAGAATTTCAGTTTGAGGCAACTGAGGGGAAAAAATAATATTTCCCCAACATCCAAAGTGAGAGGGGATACTCAGCTTTAAAAAAGATTTTTCTTAGAATATGTGGGGGGGAAAGAAAAGAAAGAAAAAAAAAAACAAACACTTTCCTTTGGATGGAGACAGGATAATAGGGTCAGAAAGAGGAAGGAATGCATATAAACAGAATCAATGAAATAATGCAACAAATCTGTTAAACAATAATCAGTCACACAAGTCTTAGGGTGCACAAGGAGACCATTCAGCCCATAATTACCTAGTGCCAATCCTGCTGCTTTCCTTCCCAGAACCTTAGACATTATTTTTATCCAAATAATTGTCCAATGCCCATTTGAGTGCCTCAATTGAACCTGCTTCCATTCACACTTTCAGGCAGTGCATTTCATACCCTAACTACGTGGAGTGAAAAGTTTGCTCACGTTACTCTGGCTTTTTCTTTTGCAAAAGAAAAAAAAAAACAATTTCTCTTTTTTTTTTAAAAAAAATGTTTCTCCCCAAGCCAATCAAGATTTTGAAAACCTCAATTTGCTCTTAGCCACCTTCTCTCAAAAAGGAGAAGAGTCCCAACCTCTTCAATCTATTCTCATAACTGAAGTTTCTCACCCTTGGAACCATTCTTTAAATCACTTCCAAGCTCTCTACAATGCATTCACAATACTCCAGCTAAGTTGCAAGTATTTTATAGAAATTCAAAGATCCTTAAGACTGTAACTTCCACACTCAGGACCCTTTAGAAGGGCAAGGGCAGCAGATACATGCGAACACCACCAGCTGCTAGTTCCTCTCCAAACCACTCACCATCCTGACTTGGAAATATTTTGCTGTTCCTTCACTGTCACTGGATCAAAAACCCTGGAATTTAATGGAATCGGTCAACTTATAACATGATGACTGCAGTGGTTTAAAAAGGCAACTCGCCCCAGATTTTGAAGGGAACTTCCCACGCATGAATTTAAAAAAACACCTCACTTCTGTGTTTTCTGCCCCATTAATAAAGCATAGGACACTGCACGTTTTACTATTGCTCTTTCCACCGGCACTGCCACCTTCAGTGATCTGTGCACGTATTTACTCAGGTCCTCTCCTCCTTCAGGATTCCTTCCCCTAGCTTACATTGAAAGACAATGTTCTTTCTACCAAAATGCATCACCTCAACTCCATACTAAGTCATCTACCACTTATCCATTCATGCAACCAACTTGTCTATGTATTGCACAGCAGCAAATAGTAAGAGTTTAAGATTTACTGACTGAACAGTCTTCAGAAAATGTAGATAATCTCATTAATGCATATACTGCCCTCTAGGATTTGTGTTACTTGATTTTTGAACATGCTATCATTTCAAACTGGTAGTAGCCAAAACATCAAATTAGAAATGGGTGTTCTAGAGAATAGAAGTTAAAAAACTAATCAAAAACAAATAAAGCAATGAAGGAGACTCACCCCTGTAATCCAGCACGTAGAGAGTTTAATACCATCTCAAATCCTCACTTGGTTTGGCTTACGGTTTGTAAACAAAACATATTGCAGTCCAGTATATTCTCAAATATTTCTAAAGAAAGTCATTCCAAATTGAACTTACATTTTTCTCACAGAGCAACCGAATGTCAGACTCCAAGGATTCATTGAATCCTTGCTCTTCAGGTATTATGGAAGATGCTGGCTCATTGGAAACTTCCTCAACACCAAGTTCCTTCACCCTTGGACAGACAAAATGAATTAATCTTTTTGCAATTACCAGAAAAACAGAAAAAACCTCCACAGTCACAGTTAGGCTACTGTATTACACCTAGTTCTATATTGGCAATGATTGATACCATAATTAATTTAAATTTACCATTGAAACAAAAAGACAAAATTAGCAATCTAGAATTTACAATTCCATCATTGTGATCACAGGTAAATATACTTGAATATCACCACAATAAAAAAAAACAGTAGGCTCATTGCAAGGTTAACATGAATAACTGCAGATTAACTTAAATCCATAGCTTTTACCTCATCTCAAAATACTCTGCCAGAAGCATTGACAGATCTTGGGTGTGGTCAAGTAACTTTTTATAGAACAAGTCAATACTCGGTGTATTAGAGAGCAACTTACACCAATAAAAGAATGGCCTCATTTACTTTACTCATTAGATATTTGAAATTCAATTTTCATTGCTTAAAAACTGTTACCTGTCTGCATATCTCAGTGTATTTAGCGTGTGTTCACAAGAATTTAATCCTGGTGAGATCATCGCAATCTGGGAAAAGAAAATCAATTCCAGCATGATCAGTAAATAATCTTATGAACTGATTCAAATGCATAATCCCAAAATACGCCAGCATTTTCAGTTAGTTAAGTAGATGGTTCCATGCTGCCAGCAAAGCCCTGCTAGAAAGAGAGAAGCTCTCTCTCTCTCTCTCTCAAGAAAACGCCAGTAAACTGAACTCATAGCCACTGGTTTCAAAATCTCCCCTCCCCCCACCGCATCCCAAAACCAGTCCAGCTCGTCCCTGCCTCCCTAACCTGTTCTTCCTCCCACCTATCCCCTCCTCCCACCTCAAGCCGCACCTCCATCTCCTACCGACCAACCTCATCCCGCCCCCTTGACCTGTCCGTCCTCCCTGGACTGACCTATCCCCTTCCTAACTCCCTACCTACACTCACCTTTCCTGGCTCCATCCCCGCCTCTTCGACCTGTTTGTTTCCTCTCCACCTATCCTCTCCTCTCCACCTCCCACTCTCTCCCTATTTATTTCAAAACCCCCTTCCCCTCCCCCTTTTCTGATGAAGGGTCTAGGCCCGAAACGTCAGCCTCTCTGCTCCTATGATGCTGCTTGGCCTGCTGTGTTCATCCAGCCCTGCACCTTGTTGTC